GCTGATGTCTTGTGAAAAGGACCTTCTTCCAAGAATTAATAACGATGCAACCATTGATGTTTTGGCATCGACTAGTCAAACGATGAAAAAATTGATATAATAGTCGATATTGAATAGCAATTGTGTCGATTATTTCTAATATTTCTAGACTCCAACTTACAGCAGTGTTTTAGAAATATTTATTTTTATCAATATTAAGGCTGGGAAGTTTAAAATTTTTTTTTTATACTTATAATAAAAAATAATGCACCTAAAAATAAAAAGGCCCTTTGCTAATAATAATGGAATATATATATATATATATATATATATATATATATATATATATATATATATATATATATATATATATATATATATATATATATATATATATATATATATATATATATATATATATATGTATATATATATATGTATATATATATATATATATATATATATATATATATATATATATATATATATATATATATATATATGTGTGTATATATATATATATGCAGGTCTGTATCCAGAATTATTTGGTCTTCGAGATATCTAACTTCTAAACATGGAACAAACTCCAAACATTTATATGTTTATACTTATGTCAAATAAGGATGCTTTGCAAAAAATTGCGTTGATTGGAGTTTGGGAACAAAAAAGCCCCAAAACTTGTGCTCCCCCTGCCCCAAACGTGAGAGCAACAAGTTGATGAAATATTTTTTGTACTACTTTTAACTAGACTTATGTTCATCGATAAATTATAAATTTCATAATAAAATATTTCAGTGTTCATAAATTTTGACCATATAAAGTTTAAACCCCCCTCAATTTGAGGCGGTTGCAAATTTTATATTGTTATAATTTTTGAACGCTGAAATATTTTACTATGAAATTTAAAATTTCTCGATGAATACGGACTTGCATTTTCAGGAATTCCGAAGATCCTTAAGTTATTACGCCTCAACTTGTCTTCAGAGAGTCTGCATCTTTCGTTTAAAGTATTACTAATGATTGGGATTTCAAATTTACTAGCAATTTTCACCTTTTGGTCTATTAAATGTTCATAGAAATTCAAACTTTTTTTTAATTTTCTAAAAAAACTTTTTAATAAGCGAACTTTTTTATTGTAATCCGATAATTTTGTTTGTTAATATCATCTAAGCGTGCATTGAGTATTTTTAAGTTATCACTATTTAAATCAACTAATATTTTTTCTTGTTCATTAAATAGTATTTGTATTTCTTTTTTGTGTAGAGAAAACATTTTATTTATTTCTAACATTTTAAATTTTTTTTAAATATCTATTATAATATGTCAAAGTGATTATGTCGGAGTGCAAGATATTGCTTTCCACCACCAGAGGAGCGATGTGTCATCATATTTGATTTGCTTATTAATACATCTAGTTTTTATATAAACTAATAAATTTTTATTGATTAAAGATTTTTCATTTACAACATTTATTTACAACATTTGTTTAAAAAAAATGTCGTTTAATACTTTAATTCGCTGTATTTGTAAATGAGGTATGATCGTGACACATGTTTGGAGGATTGTTCCGGACAACTTAACCCATTTAACATAATAAAAAATGAGCAGCTTTTTATAAAAATAATTATAAAAGTAATAACATTTATTATAAATTATAATAATATTATTATAATATAATACACAAACCCATAATAGTAATTCATTTAATTCCAATAAAGAGATCGAAATATAATGAAAGATAATGATAATACGAAAGATAATGAAAATACGAACGATAAAGATAATACGAAAAATAATGAAAGTGACTAATTTTTTAAATTGATCACTTTCATTAGAAAAAGCTAATGTTTATATTTCAAAACGATGACATTTTCATTTCCATTTCTTATATCAAAAGCAATTTTTTAAGACGATTTTTTTTAAATGCGTTGACACACTTTTTTTGCTTCACACGGGTAAAAAAGAGGTCAAGTCACAACTAACTAAACTATGCGTCCGGGGTTATCATTGCACACAATGTATAAATGGTAGTCACCTAAAATTTTTATTAAGAACTCTTTTGATTAGTTTTTAATTAAAAACAGGCTTATTTTGTTAAATTAGTAGCGTAGAAAGGGGTACTTGGCTGTATAGGCTGGTCGGCCCAGTTAACAAACCGCTTTAACAAACCGGAAATCAAGCTAACCTATTTTCCTGACAAAAAAAAAAAAGTTTATTTGACAAACTTGGATTTCTTTGTAAAGATTCTTAAATTATCATGTCTAAATACAAAAAAAAACATAAATAATCAACTACCTCCTAAACTATCTTTCAATTTTTCAATTTTTTTTTCCTTCTAGTTATTAGGATTTTCCAAGAAAACCTATCGGTCTTACTTCAAAGGTTCGGACCTATCGGTCTTATCACATAGAACCGTGGGGAGAATTTATGCAGGAAGTTCTTGGCTTATTTCTGACTAATTTCATTAATTGGGCTAGAGCCGGTTTTGAACCATGAACCTCTTGATTCTGAGCCAGAATTCTAACCACAGCATCAAGACTGCTCAACATTTAAAACAAAAACTATATTGACTTTTATTTAAATTTTAATAAAGATAAAAGTGATAAAATTTTCAAAAGGTATCATTATTCAAAAAATATCATGTTTAAAAAGTTTGAACGGCATTTCATATATTTTCACGTGTCAGCTATTTTATTTTATTTTTTTTCTAATTGTGGCTATGAAACTACAAATTTTTAAAATTAAACAAATTCACATAATGAGACTTTGAAAATACAAATCTAAATAAGTTTAGTTTACTCATTTTTTAAATCAGCATCATCAGTGTGGTAGTGCCTAAATGAAATTCGTGAACCTCTTAGACAGAGCAGGGAGGCTCCATTGAGAGACGTGTCCTTAAGCAATTTATAACTGTTCCGTACATTTCACAATTCTTTGCAGACAGTTTATGTACTAGTAATATCATGAAGCGTTTACATTCGTCTCCAAGTCCACCATTTTCCCCAAAAATCAATGGGGTGAATATACTGTGCTCAATTTCTAGAAATCGTTCTAAATACTCTCATGTTTTTTCGCTTCTTCGTGTCTACGAAATATCTGTTTTGTTGGTTGTTTTTTGGAAAACTTGGAATTTACGTGCATTACTCTATCATCGCAGAATGCAATTTCTCCCTTCCTCCAAAACCCTTTTCCTTTTATATCCAGTTTAGCTTCGTTGCTTGCAGTTTTTAGATAAAAAGTTTTTTATGAAATTTTTCATTTCATGAAAAATTTTATCAAATAATAATCATATTTTTTAAGAAACTACGGCAACCGGTTAGTTGCGATACAACCTTTTTGTTTACCCGAACTAAAAAATGGCGGACAATGAAAAATGTTTGAAATAGTTTACACTTATGCTACATCTAAATCTTATAATGCAAAGCAATACTTCGCCAAATAAAAGAATAATTTTCTATTTCTCATTTTATTAAGTATAAATATGGAAAAACTTTATCATTATTGTTAAAAAATCTTTTTTTGTTACTTCTGCTGTAAATATTTTAAAGTTACTACTATAAAAATATGTAATTAAATAGGAGTTTTTTTTTAGTTTAATTAGTTAATTTTGTATCAAAATTTATCGTTGAAGTTTTCTACTGTGTTTAGAAAATCTTTCACTTATCTTTCATTTATTCTCCATAAATTCGTAGTTATGCACAATGGAGTTAAGAAAAAAGTTGAACAAACAACAACAAAAGTAAAATATAAAGTTGAGTAAAATTATAATTGTTAGTGATCTAGGTGTTATTTTTCCAGAAAAACTTAATTGGAAATAAAAATTGTTGCTTAATGCAAATAGATATTGTGTAAAAAATTTTTTAACAAAATTGAAATGTAAGTTATTTAAATTACTTTAAAATGTTTATTTGTTTATTTCTAAAGTTTTTAGTACCAATATAGTCTCATTATGTAAAAGATGAATGTTTCAATTAGTCGAGTTAGTGAAGTATTGATTTGAATTAATCAAGTGTTTGTGTTATGAAGATTGCTTGAAAATTATCATTTCTGAATAAATAAAGAAAAGGAGGAGATATGATCCAACTATACAAACTTGTGAATAAAATGAAAATAAAACATAACACAGCAGTCTCTAAAGCTCAAAATGGAATTGAAATTCACTGTTTTATGTATCAATGAGAAACCACAAAAACTCAACAACATTCAGTCAAATTAGTTGACACAGTATGCTTAAAGACATGCTCACTATCCCAGTCAGTTACATAATTAAATGCTTACTAGATATAAATGATATCTTCTTTTTTCTTCTTCTTTTTCTTTTTCTTCATCTTCTTCTTCTTCTTTTTATTACTGTTATTATTAATATTATTATTATTATTAATATTATTATTGTTATTATTATTGTTATTAATTTATTGATTATATCTTATTGATTAGCATGTATAATTATCACAGTTTTACATGATCCACATTAATGTCAACTTAAAAAGTTAAAGTGACCCACATCAAATTTTTTATTAAAATGTCTTCATACCTTAAAGACATTTAAATAAAAATTGATTAATTTTAAGAAAGTGTAACATTTTTAAGGAAAATTATTGTTTTTCAATCACTTTAAATTTTTTTTCCTGATATTTGTTCTTTAATAAATTGTCAATGAAATTTGAAACTTTAAATCCTCCAGATTATTTATTTTCTCATTAAAATTCAAATCCTTAAAATTTTATTAAAGTATAAAATTGATAATTTGCTTCTGATTATTGATATATATATATATATATATATATATATATATATATATATATATATATATATATATATATATATATATATATATATAAATAGATATATATAAATATATATATATATATAATATATATATATATATATATATATATATATATATATATATATATATATATATATATATATATATATATATATATATATATATATATAAATAGATTATAAATTCAATTTTGATCAAAATTCAAATAAAATTCTTAATAAACTTTTTCTAAAGATTTAAAACTTTTTTAGAACTTTTTTTTTAGAACAATTTTTTTTCTTAGACACAAACAAAATGAGTAATGCGAGACCTTCCTCTGGAACAATTAGAGTTGGAACTGCTTCTCGTGGAAGAATGGCTGGATGTATCTTTTAAATATTTTTTTATATCTTTTATGATATATTATATAGTATAAATATAGAGTTAAAAATAACATAGTATAGATAATTTATGTTAATATTGGTATATGTTTTATTATACAACACAAGATGAGACAATATTTCTTTTTATAATCCTTCTCTGGTCTAGAGTGATCAGAGTTAAAAATTTAATACTTTTGAATGTATGTTAAAATTCTAAATGAATGTAGTAAAGGTTCTAAATATATTCAAAACCATATATAGGTAGCTTTATATTTTGTGTATTTGATATAAAGTAATTTTTTAAGATTTATTTTCATTAATTGCATACTAAAATCTCAGCTACAGGCAGACCGCCGACAGGTAGTGTTTTTTAAGCTTAATTTTAAATATACTTAGTTTAATAGTTTATTTGAAAATTATTATAAATTTGATTCCAAATATGACTAATAAAAATTTAGAAATTATTGCTTATAATTAGCCAAAACCATCTAATTTTACTGTTTAAAAGGGTCTATTTGAAACAACTCAATGCTCTAAAGTTCATTATTCGTTCTTCGATTTTAAATTCTTTTAAAAGTTCATTTTTAAAACCACCATGTTAAAGATGGATAAAAATATACATTTATATGTTTTTTTTTTTTTTTTTTTTTTTTTTTTTAACTAAATATTTTTCATATTATTATTTAAATATTTTATTTGACTCAAGAAGTTTTATTATATTTTTAGGAACAAATATGGTAAGCTGCTCTTTTTACCATTGGTTATAAAAATTGGGTCAACAAAAATGTAAAGAAAAGAAAAACATAACATTTTAGTAGATTATTTTTTATTTGTTTTTATTTAATGAGTTATGTTTATATTGAACATTGAATAGTGCAACTGTTAAGAAATGTTTAGAACCTAAATGAAAATGTATAAGGTTTTTTAGTCAAACTAAATAATCAGTCTTTGCATTAAACTGATATAAAAGGTTTGTTTAATGAATATGCATTCATTTTTTAATAATAAGTTAATTATTAGTGTTTAATTATATATATATATATATATATATATATATATATATATATATATATATATATATATATATATATATATACATATATATATATATATATATATATATATATATATATATATATATATATATATATATATATATATATATATGTATATATATATATATATATATATATATATATATATATATATATATATATATATATATATATATATATTCACACACACATATATATACACACACACAGATATATATATATATATATATATATATATATATATATATATATATATATATATATATATTCACACACACATATATATACACACACACAGATATATATATATATATATATATATATATATATATATATATATATATATATATATATATATATATATATATATATATATATATATATATATATATATATATATATATATATATATATATATATATATATATACAGGGCTGTCCTGAGCAGAGGTGTATGGGGGTGTCTATGAATTTTATTAGTCAGCAAATTGGACACTGGAGTTGGCAAAATTGGATCTATAGCTGGCAGTCGGTGAATGTGGGCCAACAAGGACTTTTTTTTTTTTAGATAGTTGGCTAAAGCCAAAAAATATTTTTGGCTTTAGTCGGCAAAAAAGAGATTCGTCATCCCCCCCCCCCCTCATTAAAGACTCTTTAGGATGGCCCTGTATATATATATATATATATATATATATATATATATATATATATATATATATATATATATATATATATATATATATATATACTTATAAAATACAGTGCTACCTAAAAGAAAAATAGTTGGCTTAAATGAATGAAATTTTCATTCTTATAGTATTGATTAGGCAAAAGTTGCCCTAAAAGCAGTTTTTATACTTTTATATGAATTTTATACTTTTATGTTAAAAATATCAACTATGTAAAATGTAAGTAAGGTGAGTAAAGTGTTACATTCATACAAAAAAAAATGAAAAGCAAATATATAAATACCTCTTTGAATCTCAATAAAGAAACAGTTACTTTAACTAAAGAACAAATCGTTATTCCAAATTGAAAAAAAAATTAAACTCATATTATTTTTTGGTACTTATCATTAAATTTATCCACTATTGACTGCTTTTTTACACAAAGAATAAAAATATAATCGAATTTTCTAATTTGAAATAAAAATATTAAATATTCCAAACTTTATAGAAACTTAAACAATTTTTGTTTTGGAAGTGGCATTCTTTAGGCTTTCATTTGAGAAAATTGAAGTCTCAGCTTCCTTATATTCAACGACTTGTTGTAACAAGTTGTTTTGCTCTTAATAGGAATAATCAAAGTCTGTTCAGTTTTTTTTGACTGATGTTTGATCATAATTAGTTATTGATCAACTTTAGTTTACAGCGCTGCAACTTCACACAGTGCTTCATTAATTTGTTGCATATTTTCCTTGATCTTTATCACAGCTCTGATATTCTCTATCATCTTGTATCACTTAAAGATTTAACTGTTAGTGACAGGCACTTTGTTTCTAAAATACTCCAACTAGAAGAGAAGTTATAAAAGTTCTGAATAATTCCGAAAAATGTCATAATTTCTTATCTAACCTTTATTGAATCAACAACAAGAAGATTAAGTGAATGTGTTTTATAAGAGACAAAGAGTGCTCGCTTATTTCTAAAATTTTCTAAATAAGCTCTTGTTTTTATTGCCTATATTTGGAATATATATCATGTCTGGTCTCTCATATTTTTAAATGGAAGTTTATTTTCATTCAATGAAACCACAATTTTTTGCTCCAACCCATGACCTGAAAATTAAATTTTTTTTATATATATTTCTTAATTTATAACAAATATCACATAAAAAAAAAATCAGGAGAATTTCAAAAATTTACCTGTGGTATCATCAATAATAATTTAAGAAACTCTTGAATATCAACCACCACTGAATTGTTACGTTTTTCTACGACTAAATATGGTTTGAAAAGAGTTAATTATTCCTGATGACTGGCATCTAATGTGCAATCTGTATTAATGGAGTTATATTTAACCTTCTAGCTGAGTTTTTTTAAGGATTTCCTTCCCAATAGCACAAACCTCTTATTGAATAATTTCTTCTCCAATTTTTTTGCTTAAGTAATAAGTTTTGTATGGATTTTTACTGTTTTAGAAACATGGTATTCCATAATTAGGTCATATTTTGCCATAAGTTCAACTATTTTCAAGAAATTTCCATTGTTTTTTTCATAGTTTTATCAAATGATACTCTAAATGCCATGTTTTGTGATGCCATCATAATGATTATGGAAATTGTTGTTTTTAGAACATTATCCCATCGATCAATTTCATTCAAAAATTGCTTCCCTATTAAATACTCAACAATATGTGAACTTTGAAGTCTTCTTTTCAACTTGATCCATTTCCCAAAACTTTCAATATGATTCACACTAACTTCATGCCTTGTTAAATTTTGAGATAAATAGCTCCATTCAGCAGATCCTTTTCTTGTAAGTAAAATATATGTTTTGTTAAATAGTTTACAACAGAAACAAAATATTTTATTCACTTTTTCTGAGTAAATTAGCCATGATCTAGGATGACTTTCACTGTTTGAAATTTTTAGGCAAAAAAAACTTGAGCTGAATAAACAATTCTCATAATTTCTTTAGTTGCTGTTTGATTTACTCTTCATATCTATTTCTTGAATATTATGGTTTGTAAGAGACTGAAATTTGAAGAAACAGTGTTTAAACTTGACTTACTGTTGATGGCTTTTCAGTTTTGCTCAATTCTCTTTTTTGTCTCAATTCTTCACTTTCCATCTCAATTTTTTGTTCTCTGATTTTGTTTGAATGAATTTCATGTGGCAAAGTATTTATATCAGAATTATTGTTGGGACTATATGATGCTTCTGAATCATCGTTGGTCAATTCTAAGTAAAATTAATAAAATAAACTGCAAATAAACTATTTATTTAAATTCTAAATAAAATAATAATTCATAAAAGTATTTGAAAAGTATCTACACTCTACCTATAGCTACTAAAATTAGTCAATGTATGTACACTCCACTGTGATTATGACTTCATCAGTATTGATGCCCTTCATTCTATGAAACTTTGAAAAATAAAAATAAATGATGAACTTTTTTATAAATGAACACCAATAAAAGTTAAAAAACATGAAACTACTTAAAATAAAACTTAAAAAAAAAAAAAAAAAAAAAATCAAAATTAAAAGAAAAGTTCCCTAAGGAGTGTTTAAACTAGCATAAATAAACAACAATAAAAGTTAAAAAACATAAAATTACTTAAAATAAAACTTTAAAAAAAAAAAAAAAATCAAAATTTAAAGAAAAGTTCCTTAAGGAGGGTTTAAACTAGCAACCTTGTCACATGCGCCTCATAACTTTACAAATATAATTTCTGTTGAAATCTGTTGTCTATATTGTTGTCTATACCGATTTAGCTAAGACCTTTGACACGGTACCACATAAAAGACTTATACATAAATTGAAAGCTTTCGGCATATAAGGATTGCTTTTAGAATGGATCAAATTATGGCTATTCGGACGTCTATAGAGAATTACAATAGGACATGACAAATCTGAATAGAAAAAAGTAACGAGTGGCATTCCTCAAGGATCTGTTTTAGGCCCCTTTAGTTTTTGTGATATACATAAATGACCTACCAGATAACATTTCCGGCTATATAAAACTTTATGCAGAAGACAGCAAAATAATGAAAATAATAAAAACACCAGCTGATGCCCTTTCTTTTCAAAACAATATTGACAAAGCTGTGTAATGGACTAGAGATTGGCACATGTTTTTTAATCTTGATAAGTGTAAGGTTATGTATGTTGGTCGAAAAAAAATAAATCAACTCATAGTTACACAATGTTAGGCCAAGACAGATTTTGTCATCAATTAAAATGTACTACAGTTGAGTGTGACCTTGGTATTGTGTTTGATGATTTGAAATTAAAATTACAAGTAGATGCAGCAGCAGTAAAAGCAAATTGGAAATTAGGTGTGTAAAAAAAATTCATTCAGAGGGCGTGATGTATTCCTCTGGAAAATATTATACACTTCATATATTCGACCTCATCTAGAGTTTGCAATCCACATTTGGTCACCACACCTTTTTAGCAATATCAACAAATTAGAGCAAATTCAATATTAGGCAACAAAATTAATAAACTCTTTGAGACACCATAATTATGAACAAAGATAAGAAGCACTTGGACTGACAACACTAGAAGCGAGGAGGCAAAGAGGGGATTTTATAGAACAATTCAAAATCAATCAAAACCTCGAACAAGTAGAGTTCTATTTACCACAACGCTACCCCTTTTCCAAATCAGCCTCATACAACCTAAGGTGGAACCATGAGTTTATGCTTCAACCGCAGCGAGTCAAAAACTGTATAGAGAGACTCAACTTTTTTACAAATCGTGTTTGTGCATCATGGAATGCACTTTCCAGCAACACTATCAATTCAAAATCTGTTAATATTTTCAAGTCAATATTGCAGCATCAGAACACTCACAAATAATAGAACTATATGGATCAGATATGTCAGCAAAGCAAGGTCTGGCGCCAAGCTCCGTCAAATTTTATAACATTTTTTGTAAAATTTGATTACTGAATAAACTAAACTAAACTATAACATCCACAACCCTATACCATTATGTTAATTTTTTAAAATTTAAA